GATGCGGTGACCGCTGCGGCAAGCTCAGGAGCCGAGTGGGCCTCGGCCCTCTGTCCCGCCGGACCCGGGCTCCCGAACTCTCCATCTTCTTCGGTCGGCCCGCGATCACCGAGGCGGCCTCGCGCCCCATCGCCCCTTCCCCATCCCTCCCCTGTCCCCGTCCCCGCCCCGGGGGCCGCCGCCACCCGTCTCCCACGATGGCTCTGAAGAGAATCCACAAGGTAAGCAGCCGGAGGTCGGCTGTGGGTTCGGGCCGCTTTGTGGGCCAGCAGAGCAGGCTGCGGCCTGCACTTCCCGCCGTCGCCTCCGCCGGGCTCGCGGCCTCTTCCGACCCGGCTGCGGGAGATGGCCCTGCCGGGCGGCCTTCACACCCCACTCTCAGTGATGGCGCCGGAGGAGGCCCCGTACCACAGCCCGCGCTTAGGCCGGAGGTGCGCTCATCCACTCAGCGTTCCTCCTTGGCCTCTTTTCCAGGCCCTGCGTGGAATGGATTTCCAGGGCCTCTCCGGCCTGGGACTGCTGTGCTAGAGGGCCATTGTCCAGGCATGCCAGGAGGGGGGGCTGGGGCGTTGGGCGGCCCCTTCGACAGAGGTCGAAAGGGTTCCTCGCCCCATCTCTGACCGTTCTTCCCCCCTCCCCCACCTGCCCTGGCTCCCTCCACACGCCTGAGCTTGGGTCCCATATCTCGGGCAGACGGAGGAAGCCTTTTTGTCCGATACATAAGTGTTTCTGGCGTGCACTCACCTCTTGGTGGCCGCACACTTAGGTCCACTCCATTGGTCTAGAAACAGTAGGAAGTTTAGAAGGAAAAAAACCCCCAAAACATGAGTCTTTGCGGGGGGCGGGGGGGCGGGAAGTAGAGGGAGAAACGTTTTATTCCTTGATGTTGCCAAATGTAGTCAGAAACACTCGGTTTAGCTGGAATGGGTCTAATAGAAGAGCTGTTAAATTGGCATGGGTAAAGGTAGAAACTTGAATATTGAAAAACACTAGAGAAATTACACAAAGTTTCCTTTTACAGCTTAAATTAGATGGTATGTTCAGGTTTAATTTAGAAGGGATTTTGTTTGATTTTTCCACTAGGAAGGACTTCTTTGCTCTTTAAGATGAAGAGTTATTCATTTAGTTATCTATACTGAGATTTTCCTAATATCTTTCCTAGAATATAGGCTTGGTTTAAAATTTAGGGTCTCCACCCTAAAATTGTAACTTCATGCCTTTCACGGACATGTTTTGTTTTAGAAGTGGGGAAGTGCCACTGGTGATTTTTGTTTGGTGTTTTACTTGGCTGTATTAAACCTCCAACCACTTAGAAGTAGAGCCTGGGATTATCTATCTTGAAAAATGGAACAGAGATGCAAGGAGAAGAGAACCAATTTTCACCTTGCCTTAAACTCAGTGAAAATGTGAATTGGTGGACAGTTTAAACACCTCAGCTCAGCTGTTGGTCCTCATTTCTTTCTTGATCTAAGACCTTTAATGTGAAATTAATCCCAATGGTTACTGTAAATTAGGTTAGATCCTTACCAATTTCTTTTAACACTCTTGATTTCTAACAAATGAAAAAGGACAGACTTTAGACAGTAAATCTTGTACTGAAATGATGCAGGTTATTTGTTAAACGAAGCTTGAACTTTAAGCAAAGATTTCATAAAGAACCATTAAAGGGGCAGGAACACACTGAGGAATGGTCATCATGGTAAAACTATATATGCATTTTTAAGGCTTTTAGGAGTTTCTAGGTTCTTACATAGTGTAATTGGGAAGTTAACAATCTGAGATTATACCTGTAGAAAATTGTGCTCTTATTTTAAACCTGAAGAAGAATGAGTATAATGTGTATGATAACTTATAGTCAACAAATGTAGCCTTTAATTTCTACATTAATTGATACGTGTGTTACAGGAATTTTTTTCAGAGAGGGAAAATAGTACTCAAAACATGCATTTTAATCTAACGTACTTACATCCAGTAATATGGTTTCTTAATACTACATATTCTCTAAATTTCCTCTAAAATATGCCCTCAAAAATTTTAATAAGGGAAATCAAATTTAGATAATGATAATTTGAACTTTAAAAACTTAGTATGAACCTTTTTCCTCCTTGTTTATTACCTAGAGCCCTCCTCAAAATATGGCTCAACTTTGATACTGCCAAGGATTAGAAAAATAAAATTTATTTTTGGTATACTAGTCAATAAGATTGAGAAACAAAATGGAGATCATTTTTCCCTCCAAGCTTTCTGTATGATTCCAATTTTAAGTTGAATGCAGACTTACCTAGGTATGGATATCACCAATCCTATCATATTCTCAGCCCTAGTAATATATCTACACTGGAATCCCCAAAAGATTTACTTGGCTTATGTAATTGACCTTGGTCTTGAACCTTCCTAGTTATCATTCTCTGAAAAAAATAGTTCTATTTTAATTCCCTCTCAACTTTAGATATGAACTACTGCATCTGGGTTCTAATAAGATTTTGTTAAGAATAAATACATTTGACATGTGGCATCTTTAGGAACTGATTAATTTGTTTCTTTGACAGAGGGAAATAGTGTTCTGTGGATGTGACAATGCCACGTCTTTTTTGGAAAAAGCTTTTGATGGACTTTATTTTGATATACACTTGCAAGTCCCCTGACCTGTGCTTTAACATAGTATACCGAAGAGGATCATTATGAACATCCAGTATAGTTCTTTGTAGGGATTGGGACCCTCTGAGATTGTTTGTATCTATACTAGATTACCCAACCTGCCATGTTTTGAGGTTTCTGCTGACTTTATAGGTCTTCAGCTTTAATTTTGATGCTTTGACTGTTTGCCTCTAGCAGCACCACCCCCGGCCCTTTTCCAGTTGGCTGCATCTCATTTGTTGTGGGCTGGGAAACCAGATCACGGAGCTTATTAAAATTATGTCTAAAATAAGATTCAGTAGGCTCTGAGTGAAGAGGGCTTCATGGTTTTTGTGAACTGTGTGGTCTCTGGCTGATCAGAGACCTTTTTAACTTGCTTCCTGTTTTTCTTTACTTTTGTTTTACAGGTGCAGAAGGCTTTTTGGTGCTCTTAAAGTACCATAATATTGAAATACAGGGTTAATTTCTTTATTCTTGAGAACAGTAAAAGGCTGAATATCTTGATTCTTTGAGGAGTTGAAGACAGACCAAAGTTAGGATACTAAAAGCACTTTTCTTAACAATAGTAGTGCTTTGTAACTCTAATGATGTCCTGCTAGTTATAGTTAACATTTGGTGTACATAGCTGTAGTGCTAGGATCATCACTTTATTTAGTCTATTTCTAAATAAAGATTTTTGAAATTCAAAAAAATTTTTTATTTTCCAATTACAGTTGACATACAATATTTATGTTAGTTTCAGGTGTACAACATAGTAATTAGACATTTATTTACCTTACAGAGTGGTCACCCTAATAAGTCTGGTATTCATCTGACATCATACATAGTTATTGCAATATTATTGACTATATTCCCTGTGCTGTACTTTACATCCCTGTGACGTTATAACTGGCTATTTGTAATTTTTAATCCTTTTTACCTTTACACCCATCCCACAACCACCCTCCTATCTGGCGATCAGTTTGTTCTCTGTAACTATGATATTTTTATGGCTAGTTTCTTTTAAGGCCCCTTGAGACAATAAATAAAGTTCTTAGTGAAATAAATATTTCAAACTGATGGCTATAAAGGCCAGGCAGGTAACCAAAGTGAGCAAAGAAAATGGCGGGGTTGGGGGGGGGGTCCTAGAAATTGCTGTGCTATCAGAAGAGGGCAGCTGCTACCTAGCTCTCGCCAAATGTTGCTCTTGCCAGAATCTGTGGGCTTAATGTTGCCAGGTCTTCTTCTTTCTTTCTTTCTTTCTTTCTTTATTTTCCAAAAAAGGAAGCTGCAAATCCAGATTTTTGGCAACGATTTTAGGGGGAAAAAACACTTTTGGTAGGTTGGTAGGCACTAGTTTAATATGTGAATTAGAAATAACAAAAGGTTAAGGTTCATTAATTAGGAGTGTAAGGATTAAATCACTTAGACCATATTTTCTATCTTTAAAAGTTTCAAAGTATTGCTTTATGTAGATGGGCAAGATTAGGGAGTTTTATGTAAATTTCTAATTAATTTGCTGAAGTTTTGTATGGTTAAGTGTGAGGTTGTAGGGAAGGCCAATTTAGTAGATGCACCTATCCCACAGTAGAAGTTTACATCCTATTCTTAACTTCATTATGATGTGTTCATGTTATGAATCATCTTTCTCTAGACTGCATACTTTCAAAATGTCTAAGATTGGGAGATTACCAAAGGATGATTCTTAAGGCTATGGGAAAGGAGTTGTAACACTAACAAATTTACTAAATTTAAAAAAGATTACAGTGCTGTGCTAGAAGTGTGATACTGTACATTACATTATCAGAGGTAAAGATTGAGTGAATTCCAGTCAAAATGAGGAAACAAATTAACAAATAGTCCTGTGGGATGCTGGGAACTTTAGGATAATGAATAGTAGGCCGAAGATGGCTGTTTGAATTAGTTCTGTCTTGGAAAGCAGACATACCTACCTTCTTAATCCAAAAGATAAGCTTCTTGAAATCTCTGGAAAGTTTGTTTGTTTGTTTGTTTTTTAAATTAGAAAAGGATGATTTGCTTTACAAAAGATTCGTTGAATTGAGAAACTTTCTTTGCCTCTACCAGGTTGCTTTTTAAATGTAATTTAAACAGTCATCATTGAAGAATTACTATTAATAAATCTAGGTTTTCTTTAAAGTCTCCTGTATGTATTACTGTACTGTTGATCGACAAAGAGGAGGTGTCGACAAAGTCCAATTTTAGTTTAGAGAGAGAGATTTTAGTTTAGAGAAAGAGAGAGAGAGGGCTGCTAAAATATCCTAGGCAGTTCCAGGATTGGAATACCTGACTCATGCCTGATGCTGCCAGGAACCTCTGCAGCCTCATCCCAGAAATGCAGAAGCACACACTTTTTTTTTCCTGTAGAAGTAAAATAAAGTGTTGGTGGTTAGGTTCCTAGGCTAACCTTCAAAATCATAGTAAACGACATAGGGAAAAAAAGTACTGTTCTTTTGTCTGTAGTCATTTGAGATTTCAAATAATAGAACCATAAAATGTTAGCACTGCAACATATCTTGGAGCTACTTTCTGAAAAGGCTATATGAGTTAGTAGGGCTAGATCAAGAACCTGAATTTCTTGACTAGT